ATGTGATCATGACATATATTCCTGGTGTGACCATGACATAGTCCTTGTGTGACCGTGACATAGTCCTTGTGTTACCGTGACATAGTCCTTTTGTGACTGTGACATAGTCCTTGTGTGACCGTGACATAGTCCTTTTGTGACCGTGATATAGTCCTTGTGTGATCGTGACATAGTCCTTGTGTGACCATGACATAGTCCTTTTGTGACCGTGACATAGTCCCGGTGTGACAGTGACATAGTCCTTGTGTGACCATAACATAGTCCTTTTGTGACCGTGACACAGTCCTTGTGTGACCGTGACATAGTCCTTGTGTAACAGTGACATAGTCCTTGTGTGACTGTGATATAGTCCTTGTGTGACCATCACATATTCCTTGTGTGACCATGACATAGTCCTTGTGTGACCATGACACAGTCCTTGTGTGACCGTGATATAGTCCTGGTGTGACCGTGACATAGTCCTTGTGTGACATTGACATAGTCTTTGTGTGATAGTGACATAGTCCTTGTGTGACCGTGATATAGTCCTGGTGTGACCATGACATAGTCTTTGTGTGACAGTGACATAGTCCTTGTGTGACCATGACATGGTCCTTGTGTGACTATGACATAGTCCTTATGTGACCATGACATAGTCCTTGTGGGACCGTGACATAGTCATTGTGGGACCGTGACACAGTCCTTGTGTGACCGTGACATAGTCCTTATGTGACCATGACATAGTTCTTGTGTGACCATGACATAGTCCTTGTGTGACCATCACATAGTCCTTGTGTGACCATGACATAGTCCTTATGTGACCGTGACACAGTCCTTGTGTGACCGTGACATAGTCCTTTTGTGACAGTGACATAGTTCTTGTGTGACCGTGATATAGTCCTTGTGTGACCATCACATATTCCTTGTGTGACCATGACATAGTCCTTGTGTGACCGTGACACAGTCCTTGTGTGACCGTGATATAGTCCTGGTGTGACCGTGACATAGTCCTTGTGTGACATTGACATAGTCTTTGTATGACAGAGACATAGTCCTTGTGTGACCGTGATATAGTCCTGGTGTGACCGTGACATAGTCCTTGTGTGACAGGGACATAGTCCTTGTGGGACCGTGACATAGTCCTTGTGGGACCGTGACACAGTCCTTGTGTGACCATGATATAGTCCTTGTGTGACAGTGACATGATCCTTGTGTGACCATGATATAGTCCTTGTGTGACCATGACATAGTCCTTGTGTCACCATGACATAGTCCTTGTGTGACCGTGACATAGTCCTTGTGTCACCATGACATAGTCCTTGTGTGACTATGACATAGTCCTTGTGTGACCATGACATAGTCCTTGTGGGACCGTGACATAGTCATTGTGGGACCGTGACACAGTCCTTGTGTGACATGGCATAATCATTGTGTGATAGTGACATAGTCCTTGTGTGACCATGATATAGTCCTTGTGTGACCATGACATAGTCCTTGTGTGACCATGACATAGTCCTTGTGGGACAGTGACATAGTCCTTGTGGGACCGTGACAC